GTCTCAGATACCTGATGTCTTTATGCAACCACTGACTGGTATCTGTAATAAACTGTCTACTGAAATTGCTAGATAATTTAAAAGAGCCATCTAATTTTAAGGATCCTAACATTTTTTTTTAAATTAAACCTATTTATGCACCGATTCCTGACCTTTACTTGTGGTTGGTAAAATAAAATTGGCAATTCCATTCTAAAATCTTTTTTAAAACTTTTCTTTACTGGTTTAATAAGGAATATGTCTTACAGGATATTAATATGCCTTACTGGGTATTAGAAGCCAAAGAAAACACAGTATACAAAAGGAAGAACTACAGTTTTCATTTTGAGTACTATTGGCAATGCAAAAAATTGCATAGAAAATTAAGTTTGGAAGAGACCTCAGGAAGTCATTTGCTCCAACCCCCAGCTCAAAGCAGGACCATCCCCAACTAGATCATACTTTCCATGGCTTCGTCTAGTCACGTCTTAAAAACCTCCAAGGATGGAGATTCCACAACTTCTCTGGGTAGCCCATTCAAGTGTTTTATTACCCTCCTTGGGAGAGAGTTTTTCCTAATAGCTAACCTAAACTTAACTTCCCCTGCTGCAACTTGAGACCATTACCCCTCCCCTTAGTCTTCTCTTCTGAAGATTAAATAAGCCCAGTTCCCTCAACCTCTTCTCATAAATCATGTTCCCTAGCCCCCCGGCCATTTTCATTGCCCTCTGCTGGACAGAATCCATTTGTCCACATCCTTTCTGTAGTGGAGTTCCAAATCTGGACACAATACTCCAGAAGTGGCCTCACCAGTGTCAAAGAGAGGGGAAGAGTCACTTCCATTAATCTGCTGTCAACACCCCTACTCATGCAGTACGCTGTTAGCCTTCTTTGCAACAAGGGCACACTGTTGGCTCATATTCAGCTTATTGTGCAGTGTAACCGCCAAGTCCTTTTCTGGAAAGCTGCTGCTTAGCCACTCAGTCCCCTGCCTGTAGCACTACCTGGGACTGTTGCATCCTACGTGCAGGACTTTCCACTTGTCCTTATTGAACCTCATGAGATTTCTTTCATTCCAATCTTCCAATTTGTCTAGGTCACTCTGAGCCCTAGCTCCACTTGATACTGACTGCCAACTAGTTAGGCAGTTTTCTATCCACCTTATAGTCCATTCATCCAACCTCTACATCTTTAGCTTGCTTGTGAGAATGTTGTGGGAGACAATATCAAAAGCGTTGCTAAAGTCAAAGTATATCACATCCACTGCTCTCCCTGTATCCACCAAGCCAGTTATCTCGTCACAGAAGGCAATCAGGTTGGTCTTGCCTTTGGTGAATCCATGCTGACTGTTCCTAATCACCTTCTTCACCTTAGAAATGGATTCCTTGAGGACCTGCTCCATGATTTTTCCAGGGACTGAGGTAAGGCTGACCAGTCTGTAGTTCCCTGGATCCACCTTCTTCCTTTTCTTAAAGATGGGCACTATATTTGACCTCTTCCAATAGTCCAGGACCTCTCCCAATCAACATGAGTTTTTAAAGATAGTGGCCAGTGGCTCTATAATCCCATTGGCCAATTCCCTCAGCACTCTAGGGTGCATAGCATCCAGCCTTGTGGACTTGTACATGTCCAGCTTTTATGAATAACCCCTAACCTATTGTTTCATCACTGTCAGCTGCTCACCTCTACCCCAAACTGCACTGTCAGGTGCAATAGTCTGGTAGGTGACCTTGCCTGTGAAGGCTGAGGTAAAAAAAAGGCATTGAGTGCTTCAGCCTTTTCTGCACCCTCTGTCACTAAGTTGCTTTCCCCTTTCAGTAAAGGACCCACACTTTCCACGACCTTCATCTTGTTGCTGACATACTTGTAGAAAACATTCTTACTATCCTTCATATCCCTTGCTAGCTGCAACTCCAATTGCACTTTGGCTTTCCTGATTTCATCCCTTCATTCAAGAGCAATACTCTTATACTCATCCCTAGTTGTTTGTCCAAGTTTCCACTTCTCGTAAACTTCCTTTTTATGTTTCAGCTCACTGAAGAGTTCCTTCCTAAGTCAAACTGGTCTTCTACCGTGCTTGCTAGTCTTCCTGCACGTTGGGATAGTTTGTTCCCACACTCTCAGTAAGGTTTGTTTAATGTATAGCCAGCTCATCTGGACTTCTCCCCCCCACCCCTCCCCCACTGGTTTCCCAGGGGATCCTGCCCTTCAGTTCCCTGAGTGAGTCAAAGTCTGCTTTTCAGAAGTCCAAGGTCTGCAGATCTCCTTCTTTCCTTGCCTCAGGATCCTACACTCAGTCATCTCATTGTTGCTCCTGCTCAAGTTGTGATTCACTTGTACATTCCCTACCAATTTTTCCCTGTTTGTGAGCAGCAGTTCAGGAAGAGTACAGCCCCTAGTTGGCCTCTCCAACATTTGCATCAGGAACTTATCCCCAATGCTCTTCAAAACTTCCTGAATTGCCTGCACACTGCTGTATTGCTCTTCCAACAGGTGTCAGGGTGTCAAGTCTCCCATGACAACCAGGGACTGTGATCTGAAAACATCCTCTGGCTGTTTAAAGAAATCCTCATCCACCTCCTCCTCCTGGTCTGGTGGTCTGTTGCAGACACCCACCATGATATCATCCTTGTTGCTCTCCCCTTTCACCCTAACCAAAAGACTCTCAACAGGCCTATTTCTAGTGTCACACTGGAGAAGAATGTGAAAACCTCCCCTACTGCCCCCTCCTGCTTGTGCTTCCTCCAGGTCACCTGCTTCCTTATGTCCCTTAGGGCTTTGGTCGTCATCCCCCAGCAATCCAAATTTAAAGTCCTCCTCAGTAGGTTTACGAGTTTGTCTGTGACAATGCTCTTCTCTCTTTTTGTCAGGTGGATTCCATCTCTTCCTAGCAATCCTTCTTCTTGGAACAATATCTCATGGTCAAAGAAGCCAAAGCTCCAGTGGTAGCACCATCAGCACAGCCCTGCCTTAATCTGCAGGATACATCTGCTCTTGCCTAGGCCCTTCCCCTCGACCAGAAATATTGAGGGGCACACCATCTGAGCCCCTGTCTATTTCACCCCCACATTCAGAACCCTGTAGTCACTTTTGAACTGCTCAGCATCCCCCCTGGCTGTTATCATCAGTGCCCACATGGATAAGCAGCATGGGGTAGTAGTCAGAGGGCCAGATGAGTCTTGGTAATACTTCCATGAATCTGGGCTCTGGGCAAGCAGCAGACCTCCTGAGACAACAGGTCAGGCCAACAGATGGATGCCTTTAACCCCTGCAGAAGGTAGTCTCCAACCACCTCTATCCATTACTTCCTTTTGGTGGCAGTAGTCTTTATCCTCCCAAACATGGGACAGCCTGGCCTGGCCTAGCCTCTTCTGCTGACAGAATGTTCTCCTTCTCCTTTGTTGATAGGGCTCCCTATGTGTTCTCCAGGCAAACTGCTGCAGATGGTGATGAAGACTTCATCTTGCTGCCAGAGGTCACAACAGGGATGGTCTATGGGTAACTGGCAACTGCCACTTCCAATATAGAGGAAAATTAAAAGTCTAGAATGAACTTTTACATGTACTTATTTGATATTCAAAATGAACAATAAAACAATAAAAACAATTTATTTTTATTGATTCTTTCACACTTTTCATTAATGTATGTCAAAATTCTTAGCCCAAAATTGCTTATTAGAAAGGTTGATCTCAAAAAGGATGTTATACCACAAAATGAGTGAAATCACAAATTTGAACTTGGAAAGGCCATTTGCAAGAGCTTCTGCATCAATGTGTGTTGTATTGTTAGATGATCCTGTGAGGGAACTATCATCAGAAATTTCAATTAGATAGATATTGCCAAGCTCCTTAAGGAGACGATCCTCCAAGCACAAAGGAAGGTAATCCCAACACGGATCAAAGGGGACAGGAGGGCACAAAAGCCCCCATGACTCACCAAAAGCATCTGGGAATGTCTCCTAGCTAGAAGGGAGGCGCACACCCAATGGAAGGGAGGGGTCATCACCAGGGAGGATTATACTGCGGTTGCTCGGGAATGCAGGGGGGCAGTCAGGGAGGCCAAGGCGGAGATGGAACTGGGACTAGCTTCTCAGATCAAGGACAACAAGAAGTCCATTTTTCAAAAATATAGGGGGCAAAAAGAAGGTTCTGGGTAATGTGTGGCCCCTGCAGGACAAGATAGGAAATTTGGTCATCACACTAGATGACAAAGCTAACATATTTAAAGATTTCTTTGCCTCCATTTTCCTGAGCAGGGACCAGAACAGCCACCCCACCTCTGGACCCCCCTTAGATCCCAGGGGAGGTGCACCTAGGCCAAGGGTTAGTAAGGAACTAATTAGGGAACTTCTGGAGGGACTGGATGTATT